TGTCTTTTAAGTATTTTACTCGGACCTACAAAGTGTAAAATTTCTTGCTATAGTGATATCAGTTGCTCTTCTCAGGGCCGTGGTTTTCCCTTATTCAAAAGGGTTTTCCACGTAAAAATCTTGGTGTCGTTGTTACTCTTTTATTCTTGTTAATTACCGTATCTCGGCACTACGTTATTATTCCGCTTTTATTACCGTGAATATTATTTTGTAGGGGGTTTATTCCCAACAACTGGTATTAGAGCACAGGTTTTGTTCGTTCACTGAAATACTATTCACTGTCGATAGTACTATACTCGGTGAAAAATAAAAATGCTCGGAGTAAAGTACGAGGTAGTAAAATTCAACCGAGATAACGGTTTCTCAACATGGCAAAGAAGGATGTGAGATCTGCTCATCCAACAAGGATTACATATGGTACTAGATGTTGATGCCAAAAAGCCTGATACCATGAAAGCTGAGGATTGGGCTGACTTGGATGAAAGAGCTGCTAGTGCAATCAGGTTGCACTTATCAGATGATGTGGTAAATAACATCATTGATGAAGACACTGCACGTGGAATTTGGACATGGTTGGAAAGCCTATACATGTCCAAAACGATAACAAATAAATTGTACCTGAAGAAGCAGTTATACGCCCTACACATGGGTGAAGGTACGAATTTTTTGTCACATTTAAATGTGTTTAACGGACTAATCCCACAGCTTGCCAACCTCAGAGTGAAAATCGAGGAAGAAGATAAATCCATCTTGCTATTTAACTCGTTGCCATCTTCGTACGATAATTTGGCAACAACCATCCTACACGGTAAGACTACTATTGAGTTGAAAGATGTCACATCGGCTCTTTTACTCAATGAGAAGATGAGAAAAAAGCCTGAAAATCAAGGACATGCTCTCATCACAGAANGCAACTGTGATCAACCAGGTCACTTCAAAAGAGATTTCCCAAATCCAAGGAAGGGCAAAGATGAAACCAGTGGCAAGAAGAATGACGACAACACAGCCGCCATGGTGCAAAACAATGATAATGTTGTCCTCTTTATAAATGAGGAAGAGGAATACATGCACCTGTCAGGTCCAGAGTCGGAATGGGTGGTTGACACAGCGGCATCTCACCATGCCACACCGGTAAGAGATCTTTTTTGCAGATATGTAGCAGGTGATTTCGGCACAGTGAAAATGGGTAANAAGATTGGGTGGTTGACACAGCGACATCTTACCATGCCACACCGGTAAGAGATTTTTTTTACATATATGTAGCAGGTGATTTTAGCACAGTGAGAATGGGTAACACAAGTTACTCAAAGATTACGGGGATTGGTGATATTTGTGTCGGATGCACATTGGTTCTAAAGGATGTGCGTCATGTACCTGATTTGCGGATGAACTTGATCTCGGGAATTGCTTTAGACCGAGATGGATACGAGAGTTATTTTGCAAATCAAAAGTGGAGACTCACTAAGGGATCATTGGTGATTGCAAAGGGAGTTGCTCGTGGCACGTTGTACAGGACAAATGCAGAAATATGCCAAGGTGAATTGAACGCTGCACAAGATGAGATTTCTGCAGATTTGTAGCACAAAAGAATAGGTCATATAAGCGAGAAAGGATTGCAGATTCTTGCTAAGAAATCACTCATTTTTTATGCCAAAGGTACAACGGTAAAACCTTGTGACTACTGTTTATTTGGTAAGCAGCATAGAGTCTCATTTCAGACATCGTCTGAAAAAAAGTTGAATATACTTGATTTAGTATATTCTGATATTTGTGGCCCAATGGAAATTTAATCAATGGGCGGTAACAAATATTTTGTTACTTTTATTGATGATGCTTCACGAAAATTATGGGTTTATATTTTATAAACTAAAGATCAGGTGTTTCAAGTTTTCCAGAAGTTTCATGCTCTAGTAGAAAGGGAGACGAGTCGAAAGCTAAAGCGTCTCCGAAGTGACAATTAAGGTGAGTACACTTCAAGGGAATTTGAAGAGTACTGTTCCAGTCATGGGATAAGACATGAAAAGACAGTTCCTGGAACCCCACGACACAATGGCGTAGCCAAGAGGATGAACTGCACCATTGTGGAGAAAGTGAGAAGCATGCTCAGAATGGCTAAACTATCTAAGTCATTCTGGGGTAATGCAGTTCAGACAGCCTGTTACCTGATCAATAGGAGTCTATTAGTTCCGTTGGCATTTGACATCCCAGAGAGAGTTTGGACCAACAAGGAGGTGTCCTACACGCATCTGAAGGTGTTCGGTTGCAGAGCTTTTGCACATGTACCAAAAAAGCAGAGAACAAAGCTGGATGATAAATCTGTTCCCTGCATATTTATCGAATATGGAGATGAAGAGTTCGGGTACAGATTGTGGGATCTTGTAAAAAAGAAGGTCATCAAAAGCAAAGATGTAGTCTTCCGAGAAAGTGAAGTTGGAACTGCTGCTGATATGTCAGAAAAGGCGAAAAATGGTATAATTTCTAACCTTGTTACTATTCCTTCTACTTCTAACAATCCTACAAGTGCAGAAAGTACGACCAACGAGGTTGTCGAGCAGGGGGAGCAACCTGGTGAGGTTATTGAGCAGGGGGAGCAACCTGGTGAGGTTATTGAGCAGGGGGAGCAACTTGATGAAAGTGTCGAGGAAGTGGAGCACCCCACTCAGGAAGAAGAACAACCTCAACCTCTGAGGAGATCAGAGAGGCCAAGGGTAGAGTCATGCAGGTACCCTTCCACAGAGTATGTCCTCATTAGTGGTGAGGGGGAGCTAGAAAGTCTTAAGGAGGTGTTGTCCCATCCAGAAAAGAACCAGTGGATAAAAGTCATGCAAGAAGAAATGGAATCTCTACAGAAAAATGGCACGTACAAGTTGATTGAACTTTCAAAGGGTAAAAGACCACTCAAATGTAAATGGGTCTTTAAACTCAAGAAAGATAGAAATGACAAGCTGGTCAGATACAAAGCTCGATTGGTGGTTAAAGGCTTCGAACAGAAGAAAGGTATTGATTTTGACGAAATTTTCTCACCTGTTGTCAAAATGACTTCTATTCGAACAATTTTGAGCTTAGCAGCTAGCCTAGATCTTGAAGTGGAGCAGTTGGATGTGAAAACTGCATTTCTTCATGGAGATTTGGAAGAGGAGATTTATATGGAGCAGCCAGAAGGATTTGAAGTAGCTGGAAAGAAACACATGGTGTGCAAATTGAATAAAAGTCTTTATGGATTGAAGCAGACACTAAGGCAGTGGTACATGAAATTTGACTCATTCATGAAAAGTCAAACATACCTAAAGACTTATTCTAATCCATGTGTATACTTCAAGAGATTTTCTGAGAATAACTTTTTTATATTGTTGTTGTATGTGGATGACATGTTAATTGTAGGAAAAGACAAGGGGCTGATCGCAAAGTTGAAGAGAGATTTGTCCAAGTCATTTGATATGAAGGACTTGGGCCCAGCACAACAAACTCTAGGGATGAAGATAGTTCCTAAGAGAACAAGTAGAAAGTTGTGGCTATCTCAGGAGAAGTATATTGAACATGTACTAGAACGTTTCAACATGAAAAATTCTAAGTCAGTCAGCACACCTCTTGCTAGTCATCTAAAGTTGAGTAAAAAGATGTGTCCTACAAAAGAGGAGGAGAAAGGGAACATGGCTAGAGTTCCTTATTCTTCAGCAATCGGAAGCTTGATGTATGCAATGGTATGTACTAGATCTGATATGCTCACGCAGTTGGTGTTATCAACAGGTTTCTTGAAAATCCTGTAAAGGAACATTGGGAAGCAGTCAAGTGGACACTCAGGTACTTGAGAGGTACTACGGGAGATTGTTTGTGCTTTGGAGGATCTGATCCAATCTTGAAGGGCTATACAGATGCTGATATGGCAGGTGACATTGATAATAGAAAATTCACTACTGGATATTTGTTTACATTTTCAGGGGGAGATATATCATGGCAGTCTAAGTTACAGAAGTGTGTTGCACTTTCAATAACTGAAATAGAGTACATTGCCCCTATAGAAACTGGCAAGGAGATGATATGGCTTAAGTGGTTTCTTCAAGAGCTGAAATTGCATCAAAAAGAGTATGTCATTTATTGTGACAGTCAAAGTGCAATAGACTTGAGCAAGAACTCCATGTATCATGCAAAGACGAAGCATATCGACGTGAGATATCATTGGATTCGAGAAATGATAGAGGATTGGTCTATGCAGGTAAAGAAGATCCATACAAGTGAGAATCCTTCAGATATGCTGACCAAAGTGGTACCAAGAGACAAGTTTGAGCTATGCAAAGAACTTATCGGCATACACTCAAACTTGAACCTCCGGTGTTACCTCCTTCAGGTGAATGGGACTGGAGGGGGAGGTTTGTGGGGTCCATCCCATAAATCAAGGAAGAAATTTTTTTTCCTTGATTAACAACCCATGTTTCCCTTCTGCATTTGTCAAATATGGCAGGCATGCAGAAGAAAAATGTCAAGCGTAGTAGGCGAGGTTTTGCCTATAAAAGGAGAGCTTCGCCTCTCATTTTTGACACACCAATCTCAGAGGAAAAATATATCTGAGAGTTAGAAAGAAAGAGTGAGGTTTCACAAACAGAGTATAAGAAAATAGTCCGTGAGAAAAATAGAGAGTGAGTGATATTGTAGTGAGGTGAGAATATCAAAAGAGGGTTATTTCTTTTGAGTGTCTTTTAAGTATTTTACTCGGACCTACAAAGTGTAAAATTTCTTGCTATAGTGATATCAGTTGCTCTTCTTAGGGCCGTGATTTTCCCTTATTCAAAAGGGTTTACTACGTAAAATCTTGGTGTCGTTGTTACTCTCTTATTCTTGTTAATTACCGTATCTCGGTGCTACCTTATTATTCCGCTTTTATTACCGTAAATATTACTTTGTAGGGGGGTTATTCCCAACAATATAAAAAATAATAAGAGCATATGAATCTAACAGGTAGTCATATTTAAAACTAGAACTCTAGTAAACAAATATTGAGCAAGCTATTCCCATAAATATTTCCTAAAGCCCCCTGGTAATCTATGAAAACTGAGTATGTGATTAACTTGTTTGCCTTGATGACTATACGAAACATACATGCTGCCATAAGTGTACTGCAAAATTACAGGGGAATACTTGTTGCCAGAACATTGCAATGAATTAAGTAAGAAAATATCCCATAATTGGATATCTACTTTTTTATGAAACCCATCCAAAGAGAAAATGGAAAATCTCCAACATTTTCAACCATTAGAGGAACACATACCTGATTTGCAGAAAAAATAGTTTTTATATCTTTTTCAAGCCATAGTCTAGTGTGATTCCAAGGCTTGTCCCGCTCACCATCACGTGCCACTTGTTGACCCATTTGTTCTATCAAATCATGCATCTCCACCATTCCTTCTGAAATATATAAAAGTGATCTTTTGGAAAGGATATCTATTCCTATTTTTGTATTCATACCAAAACTTTTTAAGATATCTTTCACATAATCTTCCCCTTTTCCTCTAAAGAAGCATGCAATATCAAGAAATATATTCTTGTCTTCAAGGGTTAATCCATCTAGATTCAAGCTGAGCTGCTCCACAACATCTTTTTTTCCAGTACTTTTGAGTCTAACGAATGTACTTCTCCACTCATTTATGCTTCGTTTGTAGAGAAAAGATCCCAAGACCTTAAGAGCTAAGAGTAAACCTTTAGCATAATCTACCACACACTTGGAGAGTTTGAGAAACTCTTTATCCAGAATCGGCTTCTGAAAGGCATGCAAACTAAAAAGTTCAAGAGCCTCACGCTTAGGCAATTCAGGGACAGGATATAATTGGTTGTGCTTACGAAATAAATCACTGTCTCTAGTTGTTAAAATGATTCTACTGCCATCACCAAACAAGTCAGGCATTCCAATTAAATTCTCCAATTGGTTCTCATCATCAAAAACAATCAGAACTTTCCTGAGACAAAGTTTCTTTTTTATCAAGCTCGCTCCTTCACAAACACATGTTATTTCAATAGATTTTTCATTTAAGATTCTTGAAAGGAGCACTTTCTGCAAGTGCTTCAGCCCGCGCATCTTTGACTCGTCTCTAACTTTTTCAAGAAAACAAGACCTTTGAAATTGATGAGAAATCCTGTCAAATATTTTTCTTGCAACAGTTGTCTTCCCCACGCCTCCCATGCCCATATTCCAACAAAACTAACACCACCTGATCCAACTTTTAGCAACTCCTCCACTCCACCAACCCGAGATTCAATTCCCACTAAATATTTTTCGGTAGCTGAAACTGTGCATTGAATATTTTGAAAATTCTCGTTTATACATTCTGCTTCGTTCCTGCCAAATAGAAGTACAATAAGGTAGTGAAACATATATGCATGCTAAAGATGCCAAAGCAGTTCCTATACTCCATCCAATGCTTATTTTAAACTAGTATAACATGTGAAAGGAAACAAGACCTTCACATTTACAAGAAATCTCATCAAAAATTTAGCTAGCAAAAGTGATGTTCCCTGCTTTACCTTTTCTCTTACTCACATTCCAACCACCACCAACCTATTAGGGGTTCATCTAAAGTGTGTTCTAGTCCAAAAGCTTTAATAACACCATCCATCTGAATTCTATCCACATGATGTAATTTAACCTTTTAAATTTCAAAGTAGATGGAGGATCTTGAAATATTCTCCATTTAAAGTTAGAGTTTTACTTATGTGACGACCAGACCGGTCGTTTTAAGAATTTACGCCCCGATCCCCCATTAATTACTTTCCCCAAGTTTATTTTTGCTATTTTGATTTGTCGGGATGTTCGATTTTGAGTTTCAGAGAGTTTTGGGACACTTAGTCCCTAAATGAGAGCTTAAGTGTTGGAAAGTTGACCGTAGTTGGAACAGTATGAAGATGGCCTCAGAATGGAAAACCAATGGTTCCGTTAGCTCCGTTGCGTGATTCTGGGCTTAGGGGCGTGTTCGGATTGTGTTTTGGAGGTTCGTAGAAAATTTAGGCTTGAAATACCGAAAATTGAATTTTTGAAGTTTCCGTTCCGATAGTGAGATTTTGATCCGAGGGTCAGAATGAAATTTTGAAAGTTGGAGTAGCTCCGTAGTGTTGCATGTGACGTGTGCGCAAAATTTCAGGTCATTCGGACGAGGTTTGATAGACTTTTCGATCGAAAGCGTATTTTTAGAATTTTTGAAATTCTTAGGCTTGAATCTGATGAAAAATAAGTGTTTTGATGTTGTTTTGAGCATTCCGAAGGTTGTAACAAGTTTGAATGATGTTTTAGGATTGGTTGGCAGGGTTGGTTGAGGTCCCGGGGGCCTCGGGTGTGTTTCGAATGCTCAACGGATCATTTTGGAACTTAGAGAAATTGCAGATTTTTGTTTTAGCTGTTGCAGATATTTTACTCTTCGCGTTCGCGAGTGGACCCTCGCGTTCGCGAAGAGTCAGTTGAGGAAGGTGGAATTTAAGCGTTCGTGTTCGCGAGGAAGGCTCCACGTTCGTGAAGGGGTAAGTATTTGTGCATCGCGTTCGTGTGGCTGGTGTCTCGTTCGCATAGAAGAAAATGAGCGGCTGAGCTTCAGTGAATTTAATTCATCGCGTTCGCGATAGGTGGAACGCGATCGAAAAGGCATGTTTGAGTAAAGAATCGCGTTTGTGAGGGGTTGATCACGATCGCGTAAGAGGAAAAATGGTCAAAGTTATTTTCTGCTTCGCGAACGCGAGGCTTCGACCGCGTTCGCGAAGAAGGAATTACCTGGGCAGATATAAGATTTCAAAATCGAGAGTTTAGCTATTTTTATCAAAACTTAAGCTTGGGAGCTCATATTTGAGCGAGATTTTGAGGGATTTTCAGAGATATCGATTGGGTAACGATTCTTAACTCCTCTTTGCTTGTAACCCATTAATCTAAACATGAATTCATCCTTTAATTTCGGAGTTTGTATGAAAATTGGGAGAAAGTTCTTAGATCAAGAATTTTAGTTTTGATTTGGGATTTGACATTGGATTAGGATAATTTTTATATGGTTAGACTCGTGAGGCTGTGAGAATTCTAGAAATGTAAATTTTACCTAATTTCGAGACGTGGGCCCGAAGGGCATTTCGGTCATTTTACCTAATTTCGCGTATTAGCTTAGAATTTAATTGTAGAATCAGTTACTTGAAGTGTTATTTATATTATGAAATTTAATTGAATAGATTTAGGCCATTTGGAGTCGAGTACTCGTGGCAAGAACGTGATTGAAATGCCTTGTACGTGAGGTGACGAGCGCGTACTTGTACTAATTGTTGGAAATCCGATTTTTTAAAGTAATAACTAGTATGTTTCCTTTGATGTTTCTATTACTAGCACTATTAAGACTGTTGTTAGCTTAGGAAAGCATGTCTAAGTGACTTAACTGCTTTACTTGCTCAAACTGCCTTACCTGAATTCTGTGCAGTATGCTAGGCTAGAATCACTTGTTGTATTGATATGAAATTTTGCTATTTTTGTATATTTTCCTGTTGCTGTTGTGTATTCATTTTGGGACTACGGATGTGGAATTCTGGTAGCTACCTCTTGTCTGTTTAATTTAGGACTACGGATGTGGGATTCCGGTAGATCTCCCTGCACAGTTATATGGAACTACGGGAATGCACCTGGTAGATTCCCCCAGTACTGGGTATTTACATTTAGGACTACAAAACGGGATTTTGGTAGATCTTCTCGCACTATGAGTTGGACTACGGGACGGGATCCTAGGAGATCCATTGGATATGTACATATGGGACTATAGGACGGTATCCTGGGAGATCCCCGATTGTTATTATTAGTGTTGAGCTGTACTCCTTTTCGTGTTTACCTTGCTTCTGCATAGTTGTTGATGTCTTGTACATCCTGTGTTATTTTACTGTTGTACTTATTTATATTGTTCTGTTCTATTCTGTTGATCTTTATATTTTGTTTAATCGCAGTAGGGCCCTGACCTTCCTCGTCACTACCCGACCGAGGTTAGGCTTGGCACTTACTGAGTATCATTGTGGTGTACTCATGCCCTTTCTGCGCATGTTTTTCATGAGCAAATCCAGGTACTGCGACTCAGTCCTATCACCTTTGAGGCGAGGCGACTGCTCCAGCGACTTCGAGGTATATCTGCCGCGTTCGCAGACCGAGGAGTCCCTTTCTATTCTAACTTTTAAACATTTGCCCTTTTGTATTTCTTTCCCTTGTTAGATATTCTGGAGTTAGACTGTGTAGCGATCCTTAGCTTGTGATTCATGGGTTTTCGGGTCTTGGAAGTATGTATTGGTTTGAGAGTTAAATATTGTGTATGCCGAGCGGCACTTTTAAACGTTGTTTTAGCATTCTTCATTCTGTCTTAATTTGTTTTTGTTCCGCACTTGGTTTATCTTCCGTAATTTAGTCTTACCTAGTCGTATAGGACTAGGTGCCGTCACGACGTTTCACTGAGGGCGAACTGGGGTCGTGACGTCATGCAATTCCTGTAACTGATCCTTCAGCCCCTTCAACTCAGGAGGAGCCATATGATACGGAGGAATAGAAATGAGTTGAGTGCCCAGCAACAGATCAATGCCAAAATCAATATCTCTATCAGGCGGCATGCCTGGAAGATTAGCCGGAAATACATCAGGAAAATCCCGTACTACTGGAACTAAATCAACTAAAGGGGCATCAATACTGACATCTCTCACATAAGCTAAATACGCATCACACCCCTTCTAAACCATATGATGATCCTTAAGGAAAAAAATAACTCTACTGGGAGTGGGATCTAAAGTACCCCTCCACTCAACACGCGGTACACCTGGCATAGCTAGCGTCACAGTTTTGGCGTGACAATCAAGAATAGCATAATGGGGAGACAACCAATCCATGCCAAAGATAATATCAAAATCTATCATGATGAGCAATAATAAATCGGCTTTGGTCTGAAAACCACTAAGAGCAACCAAACACGACCGATAAACGCGGTCCACAATAAGAGAATCTCCTACAGGAGTAGAAACATAAACATGGGAACTCAAAGAATCGCGAGATACACCCAAATGCGGAGCAAAATAAAAAGACACATAAGAATAAGTGGAGCCTGGATCAAATAGAACTGATGCATCTCTGTGACAAACCAGTATAATACCTGTGATGACAGAATTAGAGGCAGCACCTTTGGTACGGGTAGGAAGGGCATAGTATCGGGTCTGTCCTCCCCCTTTAGGGCGACCTCTACCTCCCCGACCTCCACCTCTAGCTGGCCGATTAGGTGGGATAACAACTGGAGCTGTAACCATAGCCTGAGAACTCTGTGGGGAACGTTGTGGCTGAGAAGTCTGTGGAGGTTCACCCCTCCCAAGTCTGGGGTAATCCCTCAAAATAGGACGGGTGTCACCACACTCAAAACAAGCTCTGGGAGGATGTGGTGGCTGTGACTGGATGGAGCTAGGTCTGCTGGACTAACCTCTGAAAGCACCCCACGCAGGAGGAGCGCTAGATACCGGATGTGCATAATAAGGCTCCTGAGGTCTAGAAGGAGCTGGAATACCACTGGCTGCTGGAAGAGCTGAATGAACAGGGCGACTCATACAACCCCTGCCATGACGACCTGCTGCTGGGGCACGGGCACCAGAGAAATGGCCCGACTCTCGAGACCTCTTG